TGTCCAAATGCCCACTCTCTGGCATAGCTATTTTTGATTTCTATTCTATCTATTTTAATGGTAAAATAGGTAAATAGGAATAAAGGGAAATTTCGTGGTTCAAACAACGAGTAAAATACTGCAGAAAAGCGAGTTAATTTGTCGAAATACATTTCATACTTGGGTAATTGAACGAAACATAGCCGGCGGTATGCCAGAGAGTGGGCGTTTAGGCAGTTTCACTCAGAAAACGCTTTTTTTGGAGATGTTTGTCCGAAGATATGGTAGTCCTAAGAATTCTATATAAATCATGTAAATTCTAGTTATTTCAGAGGTTATTTTAAATGAGTACTAGCAGTAAATGGCAATTTGGGAAGTTGCATACTTAAAATAAGAAAATAGGAGTGAAGGGAAATTTAGGAGGTTTCAGACTTTCCAACCGAATAGTTTAGTGAGTTTCCTTTTTGTTGAGATTTTATCCTTCGCAAATATAATAACCTAGGCAAATCAATTCATCTCTTCACTCTCTTTTATGCCCACAGAAGATAAAAACCAAAAAGGACTGAAGAAACCAATTGGATTTGATGATAGAACAGAAGGGGTTATGGTTGAATCTGAGGAAAGGAAATATGAAAAGAGATTCGAGGAAGATAGAAGATGGGGCATCGAAAAAATCTCCAGAATAATCGAAGATAAACTCGGAACACTAAATTATGCTGAAAGAGAGAAATTCTACAAAGAAGCACCAAATATTGTTTCAAGATTAAAAGAAGAAACTCAGACATTCAAAGATGCTCGTTATGTGATTTACGAAATATTGGAGGAAGAAGAAAAGGAGGGAAATCTACGTGAAAAGGATATTTATGAAATCTTTGAATTGTTTGTTTTGGGAGATTTTCGGAGACAGTTCTGGGAAGAAATCTTTGCTTTCTTAGAGCTTAAAAGTCACGAGGAGATTTGGATATCAAGTTTTTCAAATTGGGGGTCGCGTGAGTTTCGGATTAACAATTTTAAAAAAAGGAAAAGAGAGAAATACACAACAAATTTCTATTTTCGATGTTTTATTTCTCAATTGACTGGTGAGCGATGGATTCAGATAGAATGGAATGAGTTTGTGACTGAAGACTTGAAAGCATGGAAACAAATACCAGGACAATGGGTAGATAATCCAAGAAATGAAATTCGGAGCTATAAAATTGAAAATGAAGACAAAAAACTTGAAATATTTCATTTTTCCCATTACGAACAAATCCCTCTTGAACGAATAATTGAGGCATTGAAAAAGCAACAAAAAAAAATGGAAACGATCATAAAATTACACTTGAATTATCTGATTCCAATAGAAGATTCGGAGAAGAATAATGTTCCATTTAATATTGAATCAATTCTTGATGCATCTTCTGAATCTAAAAGATCTTCGCACACTGAATTAACCTCTGAGCCTGACGAGGAATCTAGCTGGGCCCCATCCTTTTCCCACCCCTTCCCCCACTATATATTCCAATTAAGAAATCCTCCTCGTCGAATTTGTCAAAAGAATTGTTCAGGGAAATGTCAAATGGATGGATTTAGAAAAACGGAAGAATGGTCAGATCTACCTAAAGAATTGCACATTCCAGTATGTGGTGAAATCACGGAAAATGAGGGTTTGTTTCTGGACAGTTACCTGGACTGTATAGGAGCTAATAGAGGTCTTACTTTTCTTCGCATGAAGCATCCATTTCTATTTCTTTGCTGTCAAAATCTCTTAGATATTCCATTTTTGATTCTTTTGGATCATCCAAATAATTATGAAGATGGGGAAAGTATTCTTGGATTTGATTTCAAGAAGAAACTTCATCATATTGATGTTGGAGTATTAAGAGAATACTTTCAAGAGTCAAGGCTCAAGGAGGGGGTCTATGCTTGGATCAAGGGTGATGGAGGGACCTACATCCGCTTGATTGATTATCAAGGGAATCCAAAAACAGAATGGCTTGAATTTGAGAAAGTGCCGAATTCGGCTTCCTATGGTCAATTCACTAACCAACAGGTGGCTAGAATCGGTAGACGAAGAAATAGAAGTTACTAAAGAAGAAAGACAAAGAAAGAAAATGCTTATGGCATCCACTGGCTTCTAGCCCTAGTCTTCCTGACTGTCCAACTTCCAGAGTTTCTATTTTACTGGTCCAATTTCTGAACTCTATCTGTCGATATGCAAATTGTTTTTCTTTCAAATGAATAAAGTTTTTATTCAAATCGAACGTTCTCCATTCTTGAAATGTTCACAAAACCAAGCAGAAAACGTACTTTCTGCCTCCTGCCAGTAATAATTGCAAATTTCAGATGCACCCACACCCACAAATAAGAGAAAGCTTTTGAACCAGATTTTCACCAAAAGGAGAATTAGAATGAAAACTTTTTATTGCGACCAGAAAACCGTTCTTGATCACCACGTGGGAAGTAAGCTTGAGGAAAAGTATGGAGAAAAATGGATCGACGCTGAAACTTTATTGCTGCAAACCAACAATTTGCCATTTTTTCTATTTTTCTTTTAATCCATAGTCAAACGACTTTATTATTCTCATTGATATGTTATTACTAGACGCAGAGAAAAAGAAAAGTTTGTAAAATTCACAAATGTCCAAGCAATGGTGAGAAAAGAAAGAATGAGTACCAATAAATGAAGGAAACCCGTAAATGGGAGGAAACAATAACAGGAGAAACGGCGTATTCATAAAAATGGAGGAAATATGAAAAGAATTGAGTGCTGAGCTGTGTTTTTGGGAGTAGGGTGTGAAAATTGGGAAATTTTTCTTCAAAATAGTACTTTTCCGCGGCGGTTACTGTAGCTTTAGTCGCGTTTCGAGCTTTGTAACATACTTTGTGGCCGGAACTTGTAAGCATCACTTTTCTGGCGCACAGATTTCTTCGTTTTTTCTCGCAACAATGACTTGAGCACACCAGAAAGGATGTGTTTATAAGAATCAAATCTTATAAACACAACACAGCTCTGTGATCTACTTTTTGATCGAGTCTTGTCGACACCACCGTTTTGGTGCACAGATTTCTTCGCTTTTCTTGCAACAACGACTCGAGGACGCCAGAAAGGATGTATTTACAAGATTTGATCATAAAGTACACCGTAAAAAAGTACCACCAGAGCTGGGCAGTTTTTGAAGATCAAAACGAGTGTGTCCTAACAATTCGCAAATTGAAGACGGGAGGAGTTGAGGGATGAATGGAGGAGACAGGACGGATGATCAAGGATGGAGATGGCGGGGAGAAGCCCATTGAGATTTTCAGGACATTGAAGAGGGAGTTGACAATTCCATATACTCTATTTGTTCTCAGAGATGGCCAATTCTGAGAACGACAGTAACCTTGTAGTCAGATTTTATTCAGATTATTATTTTTTCTTTAATACAGATCTCATCATCGAATGCGGATTATAAGCGAAGGAGAAAGGAGAAAATAAGAATGAAGGTAGTTTTCAAAATCATCCTTCTCTTAAAAGGGAAAAGCACCGAGTCAAGCTGTCCTTTTGACTCGAGACCAAATCCATCTTATAAAGTCGGTCATGGGGATCTCGAATTCGTTTTTTAGTTTTTGGAGAACGCTTCGCAAACGTGAGATATTTGACATGACATACCACCTTCGTTTCTTCATATACGGGCCTTCGAGCCCTTCATGAGGCCGTCACAGGTTTCCCAGATGATTGCTTCGGTGGTGTAGTGGATGGTCTGCTAGTCTACCAAAACTATTACAGCCTTTGCCCCTCAGATTCGAGTCCCACTCTCGTCAAGCTTTGTTTGCTTTTTAAAAAACTGTTTCCCTACGTATTTGCATTAAATTATAAACTTGAGTTTTATACACCGCTATAACTTAAAACTTCAACAAATGATTTACAAAAGCTGGAACCTTTCAAAGTAGCAGACACTCTTTTCTCTTTTCTTTCTCAGCGCATAAGATGGCCTAAACGACAAATATTAATAGAACCTAAGTTGCTTTCTAACCTTAGACCAATCCTGGTTCATGTGAGCCTTGGTGAACTCCAATGGGACTTTCTTGTGCAAAAGCGTCACGGATTTACAAAAGCTGGAACCTTTCAAAGTATAAAAAAATAATAATAAAAATTAAAATTTTTTTTTTTTTTAAAAAAAAAAAAAAAAAAATTTTTTTTTTTTTTTAAAAAAAAAAAGGAAAAAAATTTTTTTAAAAAAAAAAAAAATTTTTTTGGTTTTTAAAATTTTTTTTAGAAAGGGGGATGTGGCAGCTTCTTAAGGAATCCGAGATTTAGATATCTCGCGTTCACAAAGCGTTATGCAAGAACTAGAAACGGATTCGAGATCCCCATGACCGACTATATATGGACTTGATCTCGAGTCAAAAGGCTAGCTCGACTCGATCCCCTTTCCTTGTTTGATAACGCTTTGCTTACGGGAACACACTGACCCTATTCTCCGATGGTAGCATCAAGATAAAGTCAAGCTTTTTTCATAGGCTTTTTCGATTTCAGTAAGGTCTTCACGTGGCTTGTTTATAACTTTAGGCTTTACGGGTTACAATAGAGATCCATCTCGAGAGATTTTTTAATATTGTAATAGAGTTTTGTGTAACAGAGCATTGACAATTATTGCACGGATTTTCAACCAAGCCCCAGGACCAAATCCAAATCAGTCAAAAATCAGTTCTTTCAAACTGGATCTTTTTAAACTTTCTAGAGGAGGACCAGATCTAGACTTGATCTAACTCCTGCCTAAGCACGGTAGTCAGACAACCTATACTGGTTGTTTTTAAAGTTTTGCTAAGAGCTGGTCAAGTCAAGGCAATTCAAGTCAAGTTAAAGTCTTTTCAGTAGCCAGAATGTTTGGAATTGTAATCGCTTTTTTCAGTCTGAAGTGACGGGGCTTGTAAAATCGGGAAACGAATTTGATGCAATGAATACAGTGATAAGAAAATATTCAGCTTTTGAATTTCGATTTTACATCAAGCTTTAAACCAAACTATGTTAGTTTTATAGTTTAAAAGAAACTTTAGTTATGAAAACTCTCATTTTCCTACTTGGGTTCTTATTTTGTTTGACCAAATCGGCTCCGGAGAACGAGCGGATCACGAGTTTGCCGAATTTCAAAGGAAATCTCCCATTCAAGCAATATTCCGGATATGTTGATATAAATCCGACAAAAAGCTTGTATTATTGGTGAGCTTTTGGTGGGGTATGATTGTTGCTTGGTTACGATTACTATTTCGGTCGATTTTACATTGTTCTTCATTTACATGTTACAGACTAAAGTGAGGTCAAAAGTCAATTCAAGAATCAAGCCGTCACTCTAAATCTAAGTCTGGATCAGACGTCTGATTTAGAGTGTGATTCTAGATCGGACGTTTGACCTTACTTCACTCTAGATCGAACCTAACATCCCTAAAAAACACCAACTTTGAACCAATTCTAGTTATATCTCTGTTAAATTATTTACACTTTAAAAGAAGCTTGCATTAAAAGAAAGTTAGGCAGCTAATGAAGAAAATTCAGGGATATATCCGCTCAATACAGGACTATTTTTGTATGTAAATGAATAACTTTCTAGTCATAATCTTTCAGTTTTTCCTATACAAACAATTTTGCTTGCTTTGGATTGTGTTTAGTGATGATGGCTGATATTTTCCGGTTATATTAAGTGAACAAAAAGCTGCATGCAAACTATTAGACAAAATGAAGACTAGAAGACCTTGAAGTTTTGCTTCAAGACAAATGTTTACAGGTACGTCGAGTCACAAAACAAACCAGACACCGATCCAGTGGTCTTGTGGCTAAATGGTGGACCTGGATGTTCGTCGTTGCAAGGTATTGAGTCTTTATCATAAAAACATTGGAAATGCAGCTTATTTGTGTCAAATTTGGGTATTAAATTGTGTTTTTGAATATTTATTCCTTTACATAGAAAGGATAAAAGATTGCACAAAAGCAACTGACTTTTTACCTTACTTGCTTTAAGTTTCGGTGGTGATTTTTGAGAAGGACAAATTGAACAGGAAAATGTAAGACTTTAGTCGAAAAGAAGTCAATATTATGGAAAATAATGGAAGATTGTTATTAACATCAACCTCTGTTTCAGTGTCAAGACAAATTCAGGGTTGACCGTTGAATTGGGCCCTTTCCGAGTCAACAATTTCGGCGAAGAGGTGGTGTTGAATCCGTACTCCTGGAACAAGGTAAGGATTAGAAACTAGGGAATCCGAAAAACCGTAAAATAGCTCAAAAACTATTTTGAATTGATTTTTCAGTACGCTAACATCATCTTCCTGGACGCACCGGCCGGTGTCGGTTTCTCGGTTCGACGAGACGGCTTGTGGAATTACACGGATGATGAAGTGGCAAATGATAATCTCATTGTGAGTTTGCAAGAGTACAAGAATGTACTGCACTGTTACAGTACTTTACAGTACTGGAAAGTGTACTGTAAAGTGATTCTAGTTCAAAGCTATAGACTAGGTCGTAGTTACAGTAGCAAACTGGTAAAGGGGTGTACAATTTTCAGATTTTCAATTAGGTTTATGAGTTCATTATAAAACAAAAATGAGTTGAACGTTTTTAGGCAATGATGTTGTGGTTTGGGAAATTCCCGGAGCGTCGCGCAAACGACTTCTATGTGGCTGGTGAGAGTTACGGTGGAACTTATGTGCCAATGTTGGCTCAAAGATTGTCGAATGACTGGAAGAATTTCCCGAACTTCAAAGTGAGTGAAACAGTGGACTTGGACCAAGAAACTTTTCAATTCCAAGTACGGTACTTTATCAGGGTTTCTTTGTCGGCAATGGTTGCCTCAATTCACAGCTCGAGTTCAACTCACTGATCCAATACAGTTACAATCACGGGTTCATCGATGAAACGTTGGTTTTGATTGAGTAAAAAAAGCTGGGCATATCAGTACCGCTAAAAGCCTTGGCACAAAGAATAAGTTTCTAGATTCTACCGCAACTCCGTTCAAAAATGTTGCACCAGTGGTGATTGTGACTTCTATGCAATGGCCAACAATGATAAACATCCGTGCACGAATATTGTAAGAAATCTACCATATATAAAAGGGAAATGTCTGTCCGTTCGTCCGTCTGTTCCGTGGGCCGATTTACATGATTTTTAGTTTGTTAGGCTTAGAATTCTATATAGTTGTGTTTTTCGGCTGCTTTTAGCATGATTTTGACCGATAAGCTAGCTGATTGAATAGATATTTCTAATGTCTTTTTCAGTCAATGGATCTCTACTATTCGAACTACTACACCGGCTTGGATCCTTATTTCCTCTACTTCACCTGCTATTTGACTGATCAGGTATGGTAATTTGAAGCATTTTTTAAAATTTCCTATTTAGCCCCAAGTATCCTCCCCACCCATGGCGATAATCAAACAGAAAACGAAAGCGATCAAGGGAAAGAAATATCCAAAAGTTTGTTGTAAGAGGAAAAGTTCAAAAGATTCTGTTTTGATTACTAGGAAATTCAAAACAAATAATTGCTTAATTCCTTTTACTTGGTACTTTAAGTACTTTAAGACTTTGTATTGAGTTGAACGAAAAGTTTTATGCGAGAGGGCCTCAAACTCAATCAATTTGGACGTGTAATAGCCCGTTCAAAAGCTAATTATCAAGCGGATTCAATGAAAAAAAAATCACTTATTGATTCATTGCGTTTTAAAGTTTTTAGAGAGGTAGAGATGATCAGACCCAAAAAAAGGACAAAAATGGCGTTTCATCAGTTTGTACCTAAAAATCTAGGGTAAAAATATGTTCATCGTGATCAGAAACCAAAATTACCTCAAGAAATTTAAAATTACGTTTTTGAAAGGAAAAAAGTTGAAGATTTTGTCGCGGGCGGGATTCGAACCAGCGACCATCAGATCAATAGATATCGCGCTGATTCGCTGAGTTTTTTTCTCTTTTTAATATATATTCATACTTTATTCAGGACATGAAATAAAGCGTAATCAGTCAGACAATACACAAATCTACACATAAATACATAGAGAAAGATGAGACATTTTACTCGGCGATGTGGAGGCGGGGAGAAAAGAAGATAGATAGAAGATAGGCTTCTTGCTTTAATAACCTCAGGCCATGAATGGGCCAATCCAGTGGAAGAGTGAACTCCGCTAGAGAAGGGATCTCTAGTCAGCTCTAGAGAAGAGACCTCTAGTCTGGGCGCACGGGCTAGGGAAGTGAACCCTAGGGGGGCCGAACCCCACACCCTCAGTTTGGAAGTGAGCACTTAACCAATACACGATGAGGGCCCCCAATACACGATGAGGGCCCCATTTTCCTCTGTATTTTTCTTTCTTTTGGTGTGTTAACTCTACAAAAAAAGAATTTTAGTGATGACTTGCCAAAAACCTTTTTTAGCCTAGGTTTTTAAGTGAAAAACTGATGAAACGCTATTTTTGCACTTTTTAGGGTCTGATCGTCTTTACTAAAACCTCTGCAAAGACTTTAAAACACAATGAATCAATAAACGGTGTTTTTCAAAAAATCCGCTTGATAATTAGCTTTTGAACGAGCTATTACACGTCTAAATTGATTTAGTTTGAGAGCCTCACTCAAGAAAATCGCACGAACTTTTCGTTCAAGCCAATACTTTGAGATCTCAGAAGACTTTGAATGCACCTTCCAGTGCACCAAATTCTTCCTTTTTCTTGCAGCAGACTGAATATTTCAAGGAAACTAGAAAATCAAGTGTGCTCGAAAGCGTGCCCTTGCAAAAGTGAAGCACAAGTACATCCTGTTCAGTTGGACACCCTTCCCTCTTGTGCTCACTACAATGATAGTACTGTGTATTTGATGAGACAAGATGTGAGAGCTGCTCTTCATATCCCTTCTGATGTACAACCGTACAGCAATTGCAAGTTCGTCTTTTATATTTAGAGTGATCCCCATCTTTGCTTAATAAGGTAAAGAAATGAATGGCAAAGAATTTGGAATCGAGGGGAATTGAACCGTCGACCTTCTGCTTGGCAGATGCTTTACCACTGGGCTCAATTTGCATGGCAAATTTCCTGATTCAAAGTTTTCAGTGACGCGATCGCTGAAGATTACATTCAACAATATTTGGACATCTCACCGTTCGTCAAAGAAGTTATCTACTATCGGAAAAAGGTTTGTGATTTAAATTCTTCTCGAATTGCCTAATTCTCATCATTCCTCCATTCTCCATTTCCAGGTGATGTTCTTCAACGGTGACATCGATTCTGTATGCAACGTGGTCCACAATGAGCAATTCGTGCAACGATTGGGATATAAGCTTTTGGTGAGTTCATAAAAATAATGCTACTCTGAAAATAATAACCAAGCGTTGTTCAATATCATATCTAGACTTCCAGAAACTTCTTGAAATGAAAATAATTACAGAGTTAAGTACAGAGTGGCCCATAATATGTGTGACGCCTTATCTGAAGGCAGATTAAGTTGACAAATGTGTCAGAGTACTTAAAGTTTGTTATAATTTCATTTGTATAACATTTTTACACTTATATTCTAATTCTTAGCCTGTTTTGGGGGCTATAAGAAAAATTCCTGCGTTTCCTGCGGCGGAATCGCGATTTTCTGGTTTTTGAAGCTAGTTTCAATGCCTCAAAATCAAAAAAAACCCAGCTTCATTTACTCCTTTTCACTTCTTATTTCCAAAATCTAGCTCATTTTTACTAGAAAACAATAAATTTCGATTAGGGATCAAAGTTCAAAATGTGCATTTGAACTGAGTGCTGGCGATCGTGCGTCACTCTGTAGTCGGATTGAGCTCTTTTGGCATGGCTATAGTTTAACTAGGGAATGTTGTTACGTTATCATGGCTTTTGACTCGCGCTTCTGCCGGGCGTATGCCCTTTGGACCCCGAGAGTTCGAGTCCTCTGTCTATATAAGGCAACCTTTCTTTTACTCTTTTTCGTCCATTTATGAGCACAAACCTACGCAATTTAAGCAAACAGGGACGGTTTTGGCTTTATAGGAAACAATAAAACTTTAGAAAAGCAAAAATTTTCATTGGAAGGACTCGAACCCTCGGGGCCCAAAAAGGCACCCCCGCCCGGCAGACGCGCGCACTAGCCATCACACCACCGAGGCCGTTGACTGAAGACAGTTCGTCGCCCTCATAAAGAGATCCCAAAAACTTGTATTCCAAATATCTCGCGATAGAGAAGCGTTTAGCAAAAACTGATTGCAGATTCGGAATCAGCGTGAAAAACCGCAACAGATAGGTTATTTCCCGAGACAAAAGTCACGATAAGCTAACAACATTTCCTAGTAAGAACAAAAGTAGCACCGAAATAGTATTAGTCGCAATTAATTCTACTTGAAGTAATTAGATTTTTGTGTGAGGTATTCGTGACTTTTTCTAACGAAACGCAAACGCAAATTGGCCTATCTTTTACTATATTTGCATAGATGAAGTTGAACAATAAAGTTTACTTTTTTTCAGACATATAAATATAGAAAAAGATCTTCTAAAAGTCAGCTAAAATAGTTCCAAAAGTCACAAGTACTTTGAATTTAGAAAGCAAAAGAACCTTGGAATGATAATGACCAACTTCCACCAGCAATCGGCATGTTGACACGATATGATGGTCGGTTTTCAAAAGCTTCAGTACTCGTAAAGTTCCGGGGAGACTTTGACTTGATCAACCTATTTTACGCGTGTTTTTTCTAGTCTGCTTTTCCATTTTTCCAAGGTTTTCGCATTTTCCCAATGCGCTTAATCTATTGGCGATATTTTTAGAGGGTTTTTGAGTAGTTTTCAGAGTGTTTTCACTTTGTATTCCACTCCTGGCCTCCTTTTCCAGCGTCGCGGCACTGCGACAGTTTTACTACAGCTAGCTCAACAAAACATTCACAAAGACTGTTCAAAACTTTAGATATTTAAGTTTAGATACCACCAATAGATCCAGCATGTTTGATTACCCAAAAAAAAATGAAATAACACTGGTAAAAAGGGTCTAAAAATACGATCTAACCAAATCAGATCAAAGTGCTCTCCCCCGAACTTTATTAGTACCAAAACTTCTAAAAAGCCACCGGAAATAGTTCCAAAAGGGAACCAGATTTACAATCTACTAATTTAAGGATTTTGATTGCTAAACCAAAGCCTAAACCAAAGCCTAAACCAAAGCCGAAACCAAAGCATCAACTCTTCCAGTTTTCAATCGACTTTTTCTTGATTCCAGAAAGATCCAAGATCAAATTTTTCCACTATTACTTGTACACTAACTCACTGGTTTATTTTTCCCCACTTACTGGTTCATTTTTTAAAATCTCATACAGCCAAAAGCAATCATAAACACCCAATCCCCAAACTCTCAAAGTCTAAATTGCCATCGGGTTTTTTACGAGTATCCAAAGGGTTTTTTCCGCTTTACAACCTCCCCAAATGCCTCAGATTTTGTCAGATTTAAGGCAATCTTCCCAAAAAGACCCCTATTACAAACGATTAGACCGTTATCTAGGGCGGGGATGAGTTGCGCAATGAGAAGGAGAAGGACCCCAGGGGCTAGGGTAGGCTGGGGTAGGGATGGATGAGTAGCCCTCCTCCTAGGTCACCCTTTCCCTTCTATGATCTAATACCTCTACCCCGACCTCTGACTGCGCATTGGCACACTCTGTTAGGCGGGAAATTTCCTCCGAGGGGTCACCGATCACAAGATCTACTCTTTTCCCATTTACCCCAACCCTGTCCGGTCTCCTGATGCTAGGGGTTTAGGAAAAGGTAAAATCAGTGCAAGGAATTGATAATGAAGAAGGAAATTTATAAACGGGCACAACTAGGGCTTGTTGCTTCTGTGCTGTAGAGGGTTTTAAGTCATTTTTCACTGCCCTTTTTGTCATTGACTCTCACTAATATATCTCTGGGCATCTTTTTCTCTTTTCTTCTTTTTTTTACCCATTTTATCCATGATCAGCCGGTCGCCGAGAAGCAATTTGGAGCAAAGTAGTGAATATATAAGACTGACAAGGGGAAGGCACCGAGGCAAGCTTGCCTTTTTCCCCGATCCCCGACTCTGTGAGTTGAATTTGATCTCGAGTCAAAAGGCCTCGACTCGATCTTTCTCGATCCTCGATTCGATCTTGACTCGGTGCCTTTCCCTTGTCTGAACTCGGTACCTGATACCTAGCCTACTACAGATTACCTAACGCTTTAAAACTTCAAATCACTTTTGTTCAGGCGTCGACCTCTTGACGATTCGCGGTGCCGGTCATTTCACGTCGTCGGCAAACGAGAAACCGAAAGAGTCCCTTCAAATGTTCTACAATTTTATCAATGGAAATGACTACAGTCAACCGATACCAAAATAAACATTGATCGATAAAGATTTGAGGTTAAACTAAAACAAAGTAAACTCTTTAACTATAAGAAGTTAACCAGGACAGGCTAGAAATCAGGTTAGGTCAGTCAAGCCAGTAGCGTTGATCTGGACTTGAACTTGCCTAGCTCGTAAAAATCCATGATCAGCCGGTCACCGAGAAGTAATTGCTTTTAGAAAACACCAGTAAGAATATGAAAATAAGAACAATGATAAAAGAGTATTGTAACAATGAACTAGTTTGGGTTTTTTTGACACGAGCATCGCCATTGATGAATGTACACCCGGTGAGATTTCGGGTAAATCTTTCTCTTACTCGTAGCGACATTCATCGATTGCAATACACGGAAAGGGAATGGATACAAAACGATAAAATAGTGCTAAGGAAAGGTACTGTACCTGTACTGACACAGTTAGCATCAAGCAAGTATCAACTAAGCTTATTAAACTTAAATCTGTACTGTATTGGTAATAGTACTTAAATAGAGAAACAGTTGAATAGTAGCTGAATCGAAATTAGAATAGTGAGTGGGGAAATGAGTGACAAGTGATGGGAATGGGGTAGGAAGGGGGTTGGGTCGAGAATGGGTGAAAGGGGTGGGACTGTGCCTCGGGCATTTAGGGTGAGGGATGGAGGAGGTCACGGAAGGGGTGGGGTCAGGGTTTGCCGTGAGGCCAGGAAGAGAGGGGTCAACAAAATTGGTGCAGGGTCTAGGCTTAGGGTAGGTCCTTGCCAGGCCCTGTGACTCAAGAAGGGTAAAAAACTGGGGTAGAGGCTACGGGGATCGGCCCGCTACATGGGCTGGGTCAGAGTGCAGACTACAAGGACCGCTGGAGATCTAAGAGCTAGCCTCAAACATATCCTAGTTCATAGCTCACGACTACTGAATCCTGTTGTAGAGCTACAGTATTGCTAGCTTACTGTAGCCAAAGCTTACTGTAGCTAAAGTAGTACTAAAGCCTAAACTCTACTCATGACTAAAGCCTAAACTCTACTCATGACTAAAGCCTAAACTCGAAACTAGCTTACGATCTTTTTTAGTGTTACAAATCTCTAGCCTAGTGCAGTCTAGTTCTACAGAGTTCTACTCTAGACCCTGAGCTGTGAATTCAACTATAAGTCAGCTTAATTATTGCACAAAACTCTAGGAATTCAGAATTCAAAACAAATTCAATTTCTAGTTAATAGTTAGCTAATTTCTAGTTTCTAATTAAGGGATGGCTAGCCTAGAAACCCCCTCCTCGACATCTAAATTCTTCCTACCAAGCCCAGAATCTCAAACAGAATACTCAAGTAGTATCCCCAGAGGTCGAGTAAATGGTGGGGTGGAAAGAGAGTCAAAAAACGGCTCGAGATTGGTGGAAACAGGCCAAAAAAGGGAGATGGGGTAGAGGCAGACAGGCAGAGTGAGCAGCGATGGGATGGTACCATTCGGGGTCAACCCTTTCCCCTTTCCCCTCTCCCCCACTCCACCAGTTTTTTGTGCTTCTCTCGCCTCTCTAGCATCTCTAATACTAGACTATCTTTTTCTCTAGATTATTGATCTATATTCCTAAGACCTCTTGACTCCCTTGTACCTCTTTTTCTATCATTTTTTCTAGGTTATCGGCTCTTCTCTATGTCTATGAGAACCCCAAGTCCCCGGTACTGTCTTTGTAGCTTAGATATCTTAATTTCCATAGTCTCTTGTACTTATTTGTCTATGTCGCAGTGCTATGGATTCAGAAAAATCCTAATAGATTCTCATTTAGAGAAATAAGTATGAAAGAAACGTGGAATAGAGGACAGCTTATAAGCTAGCTTATAAAGAACATGATACTAGTGTGCTAGAGGTTCTAGTAGACCTAGAAATAAAACAGTATAAAGTAAAGAAATGAATTGAATCGAGAGGAAATTGAACTCTCGATCCTCTCCTTACCGGCCACCACTGAGCTCTGATGCTCTACCACTCAGCTATTGGCGCCTTCTTTACCAAAGAAGAAATGGGAAAGACAAGGAAGAAGAGAGGAAGAAAGAGATGGAAATTCCCAGGTCTACAGGCTAGAATTGGTGTCCTGGTTTTGCATAGACCTATCTCTGTACTAATTGTAAATATTACAGTAGATAGCTAATTCTAGATACCTTGTACCTCTAAAACAGGTCTAAAAGCAATCTAAAGCATCTCAAGCCTTTCTAGATCCCCAAATTCCTCATTGTCTTATACCGACTGGCTAGCCTTTTTACCTCCTTTTTTCCGAATCTCTCGTACTTACTGGTTCTCTAGTTTTGTAACCTCTCAAGCCCCCAGTACCTCTAGGTTTTTTAAGCTTTTCTATGGCTAATATCTAATCTCTATTTCTATAATAATGCCCAGTATCTTTATCTCTCTTGTCTCACTCTCTCGCGCTAAATGGTTCTCTGGTTTTGACCGCCTCTAGTACTGTACCCCTAGATTCATTTCCCCATCCATTCCCTCTCTTGCTAATCTCTCTCCCATACCCCACCGCATTTATGACGTCGGCTTGCCTTTTTTTTTGACCCCTCTTTCCCCCTCCCCGATCCACCAGATGACCTATGTGTGGTGACCCGTGTGGACCCCGTGATCAGCCTTTTTCTCTACCCTTTTCTCATCCCCATCCACACAAGGCACACTCCAGGCACCACTTTCCCCCCAACTGTCTTACCCACCAATCGATCCATCCCTCCCCACCCATTCGTCTTCCCGATTTTGGATGTTGGGGGACCAAAAATGCATCCGGACTATAGGGGAGCTGGGATTTGTGAAAAAAGAAAGCCGAACAGGGAACTAATAAAATCCGATTCTGGCAATGAGTCTGATTTAAAAAGCTAAATGCATGATAGAAAACTTTCAGCAGAAAACTGAACTGATAGTGAGTCTGAAACTCAACCAAGTGCAGAATCCAGAAACCTACTGCAACCGTCTGAAAAACCTGCACTTTTCTGGCTTAAATTCTTGTCTGTATTGTCTTTATTGTTTGTCTGCATTGTCTGTAATGACAGAAAAAGTAATGAGAGTTTAAATATTGAAATAAACGATACTTTTCCGTTCCGTAAAAATAACCCCGGATCATTTAATAATCAAAAATCGATCAATTTAATCAAAATCAAAAAATAAACATCAAAATAAGATGAATGAGAAATCGATGACGTAGCAATTTGTGGTAAGATCCATTCGTAGAAATCGAGATAGCTCGTCGAGCCATGAATTCAACGAGATAGCTCGATAGGAAATGATGTGCCATGCCGTGATGCTTGCTTCTCCATTTAGCAGATCCCTATAGACGCTTGATCGTCTGGGTGTGAATAGAAGGGTAATCCGGATTTAGGAAGTTGTAGTTGTGGTTGACTTGAGCGTTGGTAAAGCCGGCTTTCTTCATCTTTCTCCATCTGTTGAGTCCTCGCCAACAATCGAAGTAAATTTGGGCTGGATGTGTCCAATCATCGCTTCAAATAGAGCGGTCGGCCGATCGATCGGCTACCTCATGCAAATGAATGCAAATTTTGTAATTTGTTGCTAATTTGAATGATTTGTGGCTAATTGAAGTGATTTGTTGAGATTTTCCATTGAAATGTCAAGATAATGGGCTGTTTAAAGGCACAGAGGGCCTTAAACTTTCCACAAAGGGCGACAGATACCTGTCTCGTCGGTTTAATTACCCAAGTTTGAGGTTAGCATTAACCCCGAGACCTTGTCGAAGTGTATCGGACAAATTTTGGAACGCGTCTCCGTAAGGAGATGCACTAAACAATCGAAACCTCAACTGTTGCAGGGTTTTTCGCTCAAATCGAGTGATTTGTTGCTCGATTACGTGTTTTGGGGCTAATTCAAATGATTTGTTGACATTTTCCATAGAAATGTCAAGATAATGGGCTGTTTAAGCCGTTAATGATTTAAGTGTTGATGATTTAAGTGTTTTTTTGGTTAAATCGAGTGATTTGTTGCTAATTTGAATGTTTTGTGGCTAATATAACGGAAAAGAACCAAATAAACATTCAATTTCTTACTAATGTATTTCACAAAAATTCGATATTCGATAAGAAAAGCAATTCTTAGCTTTCAGTTTTCAGATCGAACAAGATAGAAGAGGCAAAGAGTGATCATTCGGCCTCCTTTGTTCTTCTTTTTTGCTTCTTTTTTTCAATGTTTTCAATAGCTGTTTATTTATTTATTTCAATATTTAAACTTTCATTCGTTTTTGGTTTAATGATTCAATAAAATTTGATGAAGAAATCACAAAATTTGACTTAATTTAGCTTGAAAAGAGATTCAAGTGACCAAGATGAATTTCCACAAGAATACAAATCCAAATCTAGCCTACAAACTAGCTGAAAAAACTTCCTTGAAAACCTTTTACATAAATTGACTTTGATTCTCTTAAGAGTTTCAAATTCGGTTTTTTTTGGAACTATTTTGCTACATAAGTTCTTGGATTCAAAGGACTTGGATTCTTTAGAAGAAGGAGTGGTCGCTACTGATCTGGATCAAGATACTGATCTACTGATCTGGACCAAGATACTGATCTACTGATCTGGACCAAGATACTGATCTACTGACCTGGACCAAGATACTGATCTACTGATCTGGACCAAGATACTGATCTACTGGCCTGGACCAAGATACTGATCTACTGATCTGGACCAAGATACTGATCTACTGACCTGGACCAAGATACTGATCTACTGATCTGGACCAAGATACTGATCTACTGACCTGGACCAAGATACTGATCTACTGATCTGGACCAAGATACTGATCTACTGATCTGGACCAAGTCGCTACTGATCTGGACCAAGACCAAGATGCGGCGCCCAGAAGTGACAGCACAAAGGAGCATCTCGAGAAGATCAGAGTTTGGTCATGCTCCTTTTTGGTCATGATCCTTTTTGGCCATGATTCAATGAAATTTGATGAAGTAATCACAAAATTTGACTTAATTTAGCTTGAAAAGAGATCCAAGTGATCGAGGACATCAATTGAGCACAAAAAA